TGAGGCGGGAAGACTTGGACTTCAAAGTCACTGATGCTAGCTTCCGAGGGGAATATGCCCCGGGAGCCCAAGCAAACAAGGCCTCTTTGCCAAATAAAAATAGATCATGAGAGCTTCCACCTCAGGAATGTGTCCAAGGCTCGAATATTGACATTTGAAACCAAGGATCTTCTCTCATCCAAGGTAACCTAGATACTCTCTAGGTTTCAAATTCTATTTTATTTTAATTTTCTATCTATCTCTATGTACATAGGAAAACCAAAACGAGTATAATTTTGGATCGAGAATATAACTACAAAGTATGGCTAGTGGCTAGTGCAAGAACATAACAACAAAACATGTAAGGACATCAACAATTTTATGTTGAAAGTAGTTAGAGGCCGTTTGGAAGACTGAATCAGTTTCTTGGTTCTGATTCTACCAAGAAACATCTGCAATGGTACCAAACGAAACAACAGAGAAACATTAAGTTTTAGGCATGAAATGGTATGGAACGATTCATGTTTTGTTCGTTGGAGCTGAAAAGGCCCGAAGTTTCTCATGGATTCTGGTTTCGCTAATGTGTACTGATAGTTACTTTTTTTTTCAGTTATAATAGTTTCTTAGTGCAACAGGTCAAAATGGATTATATTAAAGTTGTTCTTTACCCATAAAAAGTTTAGAATTTTTAATCATATTTCATTTATATGATTTTTTATTAAAAAAGTTTTTTGGAATCAGAATCAAGGCTAACATTCAAACGGTTTCATAAAATGATTCTAATTCATCGTCCGAAACATTTTCGGAGGAAATATGAATTCGAAACATTTCTATAAGAATCTGGATCCCTACCAAACACATGCCAAGTTTGGGGCATTGTCAAGAGACATTATTAGTTATTTCGTTTGCTATGCCATTGTCAGGAGACATTAGTTATTTTCTTTGCTATAATGGGACCCATCACGGCTCTTCTTCGCTGTCTTTATTACAAGGTGGTGCATTTGCTTTCTGTTGCAGTGACGGTATACTCCCGCCGTTTCTAATTCTAAGTGGTGCATAGTTTTTGCTACGCGTGTTATGCATAGTAAAAGTTATGTATTAAAAAAGTTTGAACAACTTAAAATTTTGAATGGAGGGAATATGTCATGTTTGCTATACAGATTTTCTTATTTTCGGTAGGTTAGCATGCAGCTCACTCAAGTTTGGAACAAAAAAGTGGTATGTTCTCTCGGCGACATGGATTAGTTCAATCGATTAGAACTCTGCATGCAGCTGTGTGAAGACAAAAACATATTAAGACACGTGCGTGGCAAATTGGGAATATTCCGATTGAAACAAGTAGAGACGTGCAATCAGAAGCTTATGAAGATATAATTGTCCGTTGTGCATTGTTTAACCTCTACGTGAAGTCATTCCCGAATCACTTAACTGACTAGTACTGTTTTTTTTTTTCACGATCGGGCTTGGCCTGTTTTTCATTAAGCAGACAGGAGTGTACAGAACATAGATAATTAAACTTTATCATATTTCCACAACAGAAGAAAAGTTTGTTTTTAGATAACAGAATAGAAGAAGAAAAGTGCGTCAAGATTTGAGTTCTATTGCAGACTGATTTAAATGAAGAGTCAATGCACGGTATCAATGACATCAACTTTGACCATACATTGGCGACTGACTAAACGCAGGGATTTCCCTTGTAGACTTAGGGAATTCTCATAGTTGATGATTATTTCCTACGAAAAGACAAATGTTGTTGCTTTCAGAAAACTAGCAAGTTAGTCTGCTTTTCTAAGTTTCACTTGCTAGCTCTATATATAGTACCCAGGTGTTGCCCTCTGGGGCTATGTAGTGTAGCTAAACAAACAAGGCCAAGCATATCACAATATCACAAGATCTCTTCGCTGAGGAGAATTGGTATGTGCCACACCATCATATATTCAGTAACTCAGTATATAGGGGGCTTATTTTTTCCATGGTGTTTGTTTTCTTATCTCAGTCTTGGTTTCAGAATAATATGGTTTTCTGAACTGAGAATCTGAAAGATTGGCTCTCCATTTTCATGAAGAACATTGAACTCACTATATGGTTATTCTTTTTTTTTGTTTATGTGATATCGATTAGGGTACCAATCCCTTTAGTTCTTGTCTAGAATCATGATAATCCGCTCCAATCCGTAATATTGGGAGGAATTGAAGAGATAATTAGTTCGTCCCCCCTCCAGTCCACATGTATAGTAGGGAATGGGTTCAGACGATCCAGACAAAGCACATTTGAGTGTCTATATAAGGATTGGTTGGATATGGGATGAGATCATAAATGTTTCAAGAAAAGGTGTTTCATTTTCTTAAAAGAAGTAAGTTGCGAATTTAGTCTGGCTCTAAAGGGAGGTTTAAGGTTCCCCTCTCCCTCAAGAAGAAAAAACAAGTGTCACTTTTTCCTTGGTAATGGAAAGAACGTTCCTCCTCAGAGAGGAGCAATCAGTCCACGCAAAGGGTCTGTTTGGTAGGAATCCAATTCTAGCTTTCATAAAGCTGTTTTTCAGCTTCTCCTATCAAACATGCCCTTTGAAAATAGCTTCTCCCTAGAAGATGTTTTTTAGCTCCTCTCATAGACAAAAAAAAAAACGAGGTGAGGTTGAAAATACTAGCTTCTCTCAGCTTTCTCTCTACTAACTTTCATGAAAAGTTGTTTTACCAAATGTTTTTTAAAAACAGTTTTAGCTTTACTGATAAAGCTGCATTATGGAACTGAAGGTTAAAAAAAACAACTTCACTACTAAACCTAGGATGTACCAAACAGGCTCGTACTTAAAACAGTCTCCAACATAAGGCTTGAGATTCAATCCTAAAAGCATATGACCACTCAGTCGGATCCAAAGAAATGCATTGTCCTTTGTCCCCGTTTCGAGAATGCGACACACCTAGATAATGCACATAATTTTTTAGATTGTGAGAATAACCCGGATAAACCACTTTTTCAGCTCCCACTCCTTAATATAAAAACAACTTCGGTTTCTTCGTGTTCCTTGCAAGGAACTATTTTTTAGATAACTGTTTGGTAGAGCTTCTTGCAAAAAGCCACAAGAAAACAAAGCGAGCCATGCCAGTCACTGTAGCTGTGCTTTGAAGCAAAGAAGAACCAACAACTTTTACTTCAGATGAAAAAGCATCCGGAACTCGAAAGTGGGCCAAATAGGCCCAACACTAGGGTAAGTATTCCTTGTCATCAGACGATGAAGTTTTTGGTAAAAAATACAGATGATGAAGTTTACACCTTGGAAGGAAACTGCACCTTTTTATCATTCTCCTCTCTCGGCCGTTCGAGAAGTTCATCGAGTAAAGGCAATAGCGCTCCAGGTTGCGTCGGTCAACATCTGATTATATCAAGTGCTGTGCACTCAGACCGACTCCAACAAATAGCACCCAAAAACAAGACGCATTCCCCGGTTTACATCGCGCACAGTGAAAGAGTCCGTGACCCATAAACTCCCTTCTCCAACCGTCGGGCGCAACAGAGCGTCCTCTTCCCTTCCTCCTCTCGCGAGCGCCGCCACCTCTTCCCTTCCTCCTCTCGCAGGCCTGAGCGGGCGCGATGGAGCCAGAGGCAAGAGATTCCGTCTCCTCCTCCCATGGTCGTCTTCTCCACGCCGCCGCGCCACGGGTGCAGGCCCGAGGAAGCCACGGGCGCCGCCGCTGTCTGCAAGTCGCGGGTGCGGGTTCTGCCGCCACTTTACCTGCAGGCCGCGGGCGCGGGCACCGCCGCCGCTGGCGAGCAGGCCGCGGGCGCGGGTGCCGCCGCCGCGCAGGCCTCCACGGCTAGCAAGCCACGGGCGCGGACCATGGGAGGGCATGCGGTGTTCTACTTCCCAGATCCACCTCCGCGAGCTCGCCGCCACCGCGGGGCCCGCGCACCCGGCGGCCATCGCCAAGTCGTCCTCCACCATCAATGCGGTCGCCACGGAGCTGCTCGAGCTGTCGCGGGACTTCTCTGACCTCCAGCTTCAACTCTGACATCTCCGAGGAGCTCGAGCGGCTTGCTGCTGCTGCGAGGGCGGCGAGCGGCCCTTGCCGGCGGCGCTGCTCCACCGCAGGCGAACCTCGCCGGCGGGATCCTCCCTCCCCTGCCCTACGCCACCTGTCCCTGCTCCCACCGAGCTCCATCGGCGACCGCAGCCCCTCCCCTGCCCGATGCCACCTACCTCTGCTCCCTCCGATGGCGGCCGGGCGGATCCGGACTCCACGACGGCAGCCACGCCTCCACCGATCTCCATCGGCCCCGCCCTTGTGTCGGGCCCCGGCGTCGGTCGCTCCTCCCTCTCTCTCTCTCTGTGTGTTTTGCGTCGTCGAGAATGACGACGCTTTTTTGCCTCCCGACACCGCTGCTACGCAAAATGGCTGGCTTGAATGCGTCCTCCGTTGGAGCGGCATTCTATGACGTAAAAACACTGTACAAGATGCATTTTGCGTTTGAGTCGGCTTTTGCGTGCGCCGTTGGAGACAGTCGTAGGTGTGAATCTTTTGTTGCCAGATGCACTTTTGCTTGGGTTTTTCACGAGGGCCCCGTTACAAAGAGAGACAATTACAGGAGCAAGCCACCTGATTCTCGTACACATGTCTGTCTCATCTTCTTCATCATTGCAATACAAGAGAAAACTCATGATCCAAACGCCAGAAGTTGACACAAGAAAGAATATTCTGTAGCATGCACAAGTTTAGTAGCATCTGGAGTACACGTGGTGCTTCGAGTCTTTGACTAATGACATTGTTTGTATTTTTTTTATTGGAAAGAGTACACGTGATTCTCCTCTCTTCCATTCCATCCACTGTCACGTAGTAATCCGGCAGTTTAACACGCTATTGAAGAGTTCAAGTAAATTATTTTGTAAAAATCTTCTTGTTTTTTCTTTCATTATCTTTGATCATATTTGCTAGTTGCGAGTCCAGCACAATTCTCTGTGATATTCACACACCCCCATTTCTTAGTGCGCAGAAGTTAAGGATACCGCTGCGAGCTTCACCACCATGGCCAAGGAGCTCAAGGTGCTGAATGCGCTCGACGCCGCCAAGACACAATGGTACCACTTCACGGCGATCGTGATCGCGGGCATGGGCTTCTTCACCGACGCCTACGATCTCTTCTCCATCTCCCTCGTCACCAAGCTCCTCGGCCGCATCTACTACTTCAACCCCAGCTCCAGGACCCCTGGCTCCCTCCCACCCAACGTCTCCGCCGCAGTGAACGGCGTCGCGTTCTGCGGCACGCTAGCCGGGCAGCTCTTCTTCGGCTGGCTCGGCGACAAGATGGGCCGCAAGAAGGTGTACGGCATGACGCTGATGCTCATGGTCGTCTGCTGCCTCGCCTCCGGCCTCTCGTTCGGGTCCACGCCTAAGGGCGTCATGGCCACGCTCTGCTTCTTCCGCTTCTGGCTCGGCTTCGGCATGGGCGGCGACTACCCGCTGTCGGCCACCATCATGTCCGAGTACGCCAACAAGCGGACGCGCGGCGCGTTCATCGCCGCCGTCTTCGCCATGCAGGGTTTCGGCAACCTCACCGGTGGCATCGTCGCTATCATCGTCTCGTCGGCGTTCAAGGCCAGTTTCGACGCGCCGGCGTACAAGGAAGGACGACCCCGCCGGCTCCACGGTGCCGCAGGCCGACTACGCGTGGCGCATCGTCCTCATGTTCGGCGCCACCCCGGCGCTGCTCACCTACTACTGGCGCATGAAGATGCCCGAGACGGCGCGGTACACCGCGCTGGTCGCCAAGAACGCCAAGCAGGCGGCGTCCGACATGACGCAGGTGCTCAACGTGGAGATCGTGGAGGAGCCGGAGCACGCGGAGGAGCTGGCGCGGCGTGAGCAGTTCGGGCTATTCTCCCGGCAGTTCGCGAGGCGGCACGGCCTCCACCTGTTGGGCACGACGGTGTGCTGGTTCCTCCTGGACATTGCCTTCTACTTGCAGAACCTGTTCCAGAAGGACATCTACACCGCCGTGAACTGGCTGCCCAAGGCGGACACCATGAACGCGCTGGAGGAGATGTTCAGGATCTCCAGGGCACAGACGCTCGTCGCGCTGTGCGGCACCATCCCGGGCTACTGGCTCACCGTCTTCTTCATCGACATCATCGGCCGCTTCATCATCCAGCTTGGCGGCTTCTTCTTCATGACGGTGTTCATGCTCGGCCTGGCCATCCCGTACCACCACTGGACCATGCCGGGGCACCACATCGGCTTCGTTGTCATGTACGCCTTCACCTTCTTCTTTGCCAACTTCGGGCCCAACTCCACCACCTTCATCGTGCCGGCGGAGATCTTCCCTGCGCGGCTGCGGTCCACGTGCCACGGCATCTCGGCGGCGGCTGGGAAGGCCGGGGCCATCATCGGTTCCTTCGGCTTCCTGTACGCCGCTCAGAGCACGGACCCGAACAAGACGGACGCAGGGTGGTCGTTACATGTTTGCAAGGCCAAATCTACATTGCCGTTGTTACCGTTTTGTGAACGATTCGTTGTGTACTGGTATTTACTGTCATTAAGCCGGCGAGCTTTGGCCGCCAGCCAGGGTGGCCACGTCGCCCGAAATTCCGCCCGCCGTCTCATTCGCGATCGACGCTCAGGAATGACTCCGCCGAACGCTACAGTAGATCCCCCGCGGCTTCCCGATTCGTCTTCTCGCCCCCTCCTCTCTCTCTCTTTCTTCGCTCGCTCTCGCTCTTCCTCCCGACGCGGCTAGCGGTGACGGCGCCAGGCGCGTGCGGGCTGTGGCGGCCGCGCTCCACCTCCTCCTCCTCCTCCCTCCCTCCCTCGCCTGCCTCTCCCTCCGTTTCTACCTCCCCTTCCTCTCTCTCCTCTTCCCTCCCAATGCGGCAGCGAGCGGCCTCCCGACGCTTCTCCTCACCCGCAGCGTCCCCAACCCGCCGACCGACACATCCGCCACCGACGGATGCCGCGTCCGCCTCTCCGCCCCTGGATCGGCACGTTGGCCTAGCCGGCCAGCCATCGCCGTGACGGTGACGCCAACCTAGGGTTTCGCACGCGCCTCAGCTCGTCGGCCATACCTCCTCGTACCTCACCCTCTCCTCCTCCTCCTAATCCGTCTCATCGCTCCTCACCAAGTCCTCTCTCCATCCATCTCCCCTTTGCACAGGTGATTGGCCGGCACTGCAGCTTGCGCTGCCTCCCTGGCGTGGTGGCCCTCGGCCGCGGCAATCCCGGCGCAGGCGCCACTCGCCGCGGCGGCTCCGGAAGCGGCAGCCCTGCCACGGATGCCCCTCACGCCACGGCGGACTGGCCAGGCCCCAACTGCCGCTTTCCCTGCGTGATGAGACTGCCTCGCCGTACTGCTCACCGGCGCGTTCCTCCCGCAGTCCGCCTTGGATGCAGTGGCTGTACAAAACTTGGTCTTAAAAATTCAGGTTATGGATATGCTCGGACCCAGTCTTTGGGATGTCTGGAATAATAACTCTCACACGTGAGTCATAGTTTTGAGTCGACACTTGATATTGACTTTTAGTTTACCATTAACGTCATTCCTTTGCTAGCAGAATGTCACCTGAGATGGTTGCTTGTATTGCTATTGAATCAATCTCCATACTTGAGAAAATGCATTCAAAAGGGTCAGTTAACACCGCTGATTATTCTTTCCTTGTAACTCCTTATTCTCTATGTATTTCTTTCATCCGCTGCCAAAATTTAATTTTTTTTTTTTGGGATTTCAGGTATGTTCATGGCGATGTCAAACCAGAGAATTTCTTTCTAGGGACTCCTGGGACACCTGAAGAAAAGATACTCTTCCTTGTTGATCTTGGTTTAGGTAAGTTAATTTACTTTTTTATCGCTCAACCGGCAGCATCTACGATTATTTGAATTTGTCTGTTCTGTATGTAGACAACAGATTAGGCGTATAAATAATTTTGTATTCTTGGATCTTCTGATGGCAGCTACGAAGTGGAAGGATAGTGCAACAGGCCAACACTGATCTTGGTTTACGTAAGTTAATTTACTTTTTTATCGCTCAACCGGCAGCATCTACGATTATTTGAATTTGTCTGTTCTGTATGTAGACAACAGATTAGGCGTGTGAATAATTTTGTATTCTTGGATCTTCTGATGGCAGCTACGAAGTGGAAGGATAGTGCAACAGGCCAACACGTTGAATATGATCAGCGACCAGATGTTTTCAGGTAACCAGATGAAGCTTTTATGATAGGCATCACTTGCATTACCCCTAGCACATAAATGATGACGTTGATTATCCTGTCACATTTCCTGTCCATTTGATGTTTCCCAGTAATCCTTAATCCAGCCATTATGCCAGAAATTACCGCTGCGGTAAACAGTTTTCACTTTTCAGCCAACCATTATTGTCTTCCATTTATTCTCCCTGTGCTTGCGAGCTTGCTTGTTTCCTTAGCCTTATAGAATCAGTACAACGTTTTACTCTTTTTCAACATCTTGCTGCATTGAACTCACCTATTGTAGTTACTACTGGTGAAATGATCCTGATTGGCATGCGTGGTGGTAGCCATTCTTTCACTAGACATGGAATCAGTCTTTTAGTCTCTGTTGAGATGGTACACTCAATATATTGTCACAGTCTTGTTATGTGGGCTTGCTCATCACGGATAGGCAAGAGGAACATTTGAACAGTCGATTCCATTTCTGTTCGACGGTGAATTATTAGAGTAATGCCCAACACCCCTTTAACTGTTGGACATACTGCATCAGGTGCGATTTGCTGACAACCCATGAGTCATTTTAAACCTATTGATAGTAGTGAAATGCAGTATGCGATTGTTCAATGAATGAAAATTTGGTAGGCGGTCTCTGTCATCAAATTAGCTGGTTTGTGTAGTTCACCGTTAAAATTTTACATTATCTTTTGTAGTGCTATACTAAATCAAATTATCAGCAGAGGTAACAACATGAAACAATACATGATATTTTTACTTCTCAGTCGTGTGCTTGGGAGAGATGGCTACTCATGATGATGAAAACTATGTACCGATTCAATCCCATTGGGATATTTCCATGCAGAGATTAAACATGTTTTTTACCTGCGCCTTAACCAGGTGATTTGCCGGTGCGCGCAATGACGCGCGTAATGGACTAGTCACTATATGGAACTAGGAAAACTATAAAACTTGTACCAATTTTTTCCTAAAAATGTTCTGTACTTGTTTATGATCTATATAAGATATTTAGAAATGGTCTATTTCTGTTTTTTTTAAACTGTTTATTTCTATTCTTATTACTTTATTGCTCGTAGTAGAACACATTATTTACTTAAAACAAGTATGATCCAAATAGCTTTAAATATATCACCAACAAATATATGATATTTTAAGAAGGAAACTAGAATTAATTTTATATTTGTATGTTAAAATAATTTAATTATGAATTTCTAGAGATCAAAACCACTTTTCAAACCACCTAGACGACCAAAATTTGCCCAATTTTCTACGGTTAGAGGGTTTCATAATTTAAATTTGAAAATTGGATTCCATTGTAAGTTGGAGGTTAAGAAAACGGTAATGCCCTTTGTCGAACGTTCATCCAAACAGAGGAAAACACGACAATCCTCTGAAGAATTACCACACTACACTACAATAACAGAGTACGCGGAAGCAAAAATACGTCATCTAGATTAAGCATTAAATTAAGCCTCCTACGATAACATAAGAAAATGCATCTTCAAGAATAACCAAAAACCACAAATGTTTATTACAACATAGTAAATGACTCTACAACCAAATAGAATGTTCCAAAAATATGTGATTGTTTGAAGTGTACAACATGTGTGCATGCTACTCTCATCGCACCAAGCATCCTCGAAGCTCAAGTACCTGAGATGGGGAAACAAACGTATGAGGTTTATGGAAAACCTTAGCAAACAAACTGCTTTAACCAAGCTATTTAAATCACTGTTTGATTAAACATCAAATTTAAAAGGCATAATAATAGATAAATCAACGCAATAGATACTTCAATATAATAGATACAACAATTGCTCCATAGAAATATAAATATATTTCAAAATGCAACTACAAATGATGCAATGCAATGCAAATGAAAATGATGCAATGCAATGCATAACTTCATTTCTACCCACACGTCCCAAGGAGAGGGAGTGAGGGCTGCAACCACAATGCTCATCAATGTGTGTTGCTGTACTGGTACTTACCGCACCAATTTGGCTACGGTTTCTTCAAATGCATTTCAATGGGAAGAGTGCAAATGCAAATGTTGCAATGTATGCACGTCAGATACTTCATAATTCAAAGTAATACCACAAGATATGAAAAATAGCATACTTCAAAGTAAGTAAATAACTTCAATTTTCAGATTACCTAGCTGGTGTGAGAAACTGAATTTTTGTGGAGGCAATTCAAACAACAAAGCTAAAGCATATGGACCACGGCGCCACGTTTACTTGCCTTCAACAAAGCTCAAGACTGAGAGCTAAGCACGATCCAAATGTGCACCACCTGATCAGAAGCAAGTATTAGCACCAACACCATTGTACAAACAAACACAAACAATGGGTAACCAACTAGATCGTCCCAAACCCGCCATTCAAGCACCTACCACTATGCTACCGTTCTTGACAGCAGCACTGTCTCTTCTATTTTCCATAAACATATTACTGTTCATTCAAAAATTCTCAAAATCTTCCCGATGATACAAAACTTGATTATCTACAACTTTGTTATAATATGATTTGGCACAAGAGATCTCCAAAATAACTTAAACATCCTCTTAACTCAACTGAACTTTCTGACGGTCAAAACAGAACAGCAATCTTATAAAATTTATAACCGGAGATATAATCATCCAACAAATGTGTTCTTTAACAATCTGGAAACCATAATAAAACTCCTAAAACTTTTGTTTATATCAAAGGTTCAGATTCTTCCATTACGATGGCCAAAAACTGAATAGGTGTAAAACTGTCCAGATTCTAATCACTGAAAAATAGTCTGCTTAAGATGATCATATCTCCAAAAATACAGAGGCTATGAGCGTGATATTGGTGTCAAAAGAAAGGCATTGAAGTCCTTTACGACTTTGTCCACAGTGAAAAAATTTATTAAGGACATTAATGTACCTTCAAACAGTGATGAACAGAAACTGCTTAGTTTGACGGAATTTCAGAACATGACGAAAATTAATTTCGAGAATTTGGGAATTACTCCAACTAAACCCCTTATAATTCAATGATTCAGTCCATAAAACTTGATCCAAACAAGTGGATTAGTATTTGGCATCTCACCTAGGGTAACCACAGAGAATCGATGATAAGCCCCCGGCGATCCACTAATTCCTTGCTTCCTCTTCTCCACCTCACGACGATCCTTGTCGCTAAGACTGCCTCGCCATTCCAATCTACTTACGAACATGTTGTGACTTTCATGAGCAGCGAGGGGAAACAAGAAACTCGGGGAAAAACGGGAGACAAGATCATGCCTAACCAAATTTCCAAGGAAGAAAGGCACAGCAGAAGACGACGGTGGCGGCAGACGACGACGACGGCGACGGCGACAAGCCCTAACCCCTTTCTTCTTCTCTCTTCCCCTTCCCCTGTTTTCCTTTTTCCCGTGTGTGTACATGGGTGGCTGCTAGGTCTTCGAGAGAGGTGCTGACCAGGCTTCAATAGATCACGGTGGGGAAAAGTAGAAAGAAAAAAAAAGAATAAAGGAAAAGGGCCACACGCTGGGCATGGCAACATGATTAGGATTCGGACTGCTCCTGTCCTCCACGGTTACTTTAGTTTTTTTCTTTTTTTTTTATTCCTTCATCTTGCAAGAAATGTAACTCCATGATGCAGACTCTGATTAGTGTGTATGAGTAGTCAAACAAAAAGCATTCAACGAGATCTACGCATAGGTGATCTCCATCCATCCATCCGAGCAATGGATCCAAAAGTCAAAATTTCGGTCTTCTCTCTCTTAAAAGCCGTTCAATCTTCGCTAGATAAATTACTTAATCCATATTTAAAAACAATCCATATTTACCGTGCATTCTCAGGTATTATAGTTCAGCCGGACAGGATGGACCTGCCTGCCCCTGCGCCTCGCAAGCCCTGCGGCCTCATGCCTCGTGCGCCCCACCCACGCCTCATGCTCGCGCTTCATGCTGCTCTTGCCTAGCATCACCTGCGCCTCACGCTGCTTACCCCTCGCACATCGTGCTACGCTCCGCCGCACCTCGTGCCTCCTGCCCGGACTCATGCTGCGCACAGCTGAGGTCCGACCTCCACGCTGTGGCATCGAGCTCCGTGCTGGTGCCAAGCTTCATGTCAACGAGCGTCCATTGGGGGGCAGCAAGTAGATGAGCACATGTTGCAACCGTATGTTTCATGCGTTTTAGACGATGTATGTTGCATATATTTAATCTGGATGTTACAAAAGTAGATCTAGTGTTGCATATGTTGCAATGACTATACACGTATATTGCAAGTGTATGTTTCAAATATTTCAGCTGTTTCAAATATATGTTGCAAGTGTTTTATCTGGATGTTGCATATGTTGCACTGGATATACACGTATGTTGTAAGTGTATGTTTCAAATGTTCCAGTTGCTTCAAACGTTTCAAGTGTTTTCTCTGGATGTTGCAGTGGCCTTACACATATGTTGCAAACGGTTGTTGTAAATGTTTCATCTGTTTTGGATGTATGTTGCAACAAATGCTTTATGTTATAAGTGTTTCATGAGCAGGCGCGGTAAGGGGGCGCAGGCGAAGGTGGTTCCCTCAGGCGCGGCAGCAGGCATGGAGCACAAAGCTATATCCACAGGAATGGCAGCAAGCGCGGAGCACGAAGCTACATCCATGAGTGGGCAGCAGGCGCGGAGCACGTGGCGAAGTAGAGCACGAAGTTGCATCCATCGGCAGGCAGCAGGAGCAGATCATGAGGCGAAGCGGAGCACGAAGCTACATACATAGGCGCCCCGAGGGTATCATTATTGAAAATGGGCAGCCAGCAGGCGTGGGCGTTCGGACGGATCTGGACATCCAGGCGCTAGTCTCTCCGTTAAAAAATGTACTTTACCCTTAAACAACACCTTAAGCATGTGCATAATTTGCTTTGCACCCAAACTTGTTTAGCACCTCTTGTGTTGGTTTGTTGTTCACCTTGATGGCCACTACCTTGTCATTTTCTTCTTCTTGAACAAGTATGGTGTAGTGACATTCTTGTCCACCTTGCTGCTATAGTTGTTGGAGAGCTTGATTGGAGAGTGTGACGAACTAACAGGGATGAAAGCAAGTGACAGATGAAATGATTTATTGCTTTTAATATTAGATATAGATAGACATATATAAATGAATACAACATATAAGAAAAAATTTATCTTATGGCCTCGTAACACATTTTTTGATTTATTTAGAACTACAGTTGCTTTATACATGAGTTTCATATTTTTTAGAAAGGATAATTCTCACCTAATTTTTTTAGAATTTTTTAAATAATATTTTTAATAAATAAATATAGATCTAGATGTTGTTTTAGAAGAATTATAGATATAGTACACCTGTCGATAGCCCAGCGACCAAAAAGACTATGTGGCACCGATGTGTGGTAGCTGTTGGCGGTGCTTAACTGTTATTTTCACCCACCAACTTTACATAAAATCTATACAAACAAACACCAAAACTTAATAAATAGAATTTATACTAACGAATTCCATGAGTTTTGGTGAGTTGATCATTTGCAGGACACCTACGTGGAATACATGGAAAAAGAGTCAAAATGCGCAACCAGGAAAGCATAAGCGCAGACTCTACATAAACAATTAAAGAGAAGACCCGCTCACCTAACAAATCTGGGCCTCAAACCCACCAAAGCACACTCCAGGCCCATCATACAACCCACCAGACGACGACGGTGCTGAGGCAGCCCAGCCATGGCACCCCCACTGGTGCCCCTCTGGCCTACCTTCGACATGGCGGTTCATTGATGATAGTAGAAGGCGGTGCGGGGTGGATCTC